CCAAACTCCCCCTGACTAAAAGCAACCATAAACACTGAAAACAGTGAACAAGAAGAAAACGACAAAAATTATATGGTGGAGCAAGCAAGAAATCTCCGATTTGTACTTTAAAACACACAAGATTATCCAAGAAGCACAATTACTAGTAAACACAATGTGCACAGTCTGTAGAAGATTCCTTATGAAAGAAAGTGATGCATTATGTGAAAAGTATAGATCCCATGAGAAAAGTGTGCGTGTGACTCTTGGAGTTCGACAAACACTAGATTCAATCCTAGTAGTGATCTGAAAGTTAGACCTCCGACAAGAGAATCTAAGCACAACAAAGGAAAGTCAAACTACTAAGAATCAATGGGTATTTGGTGAGTAAAGGCGAAGGCTCCCCCTCAATCAATGAATCCTTTATGTTTTCTTTTTTTTTTTTCACATCTTTTGCACATTTTTTTTTTGTTTCTTTCTTTTGCACATTTTTTCTTTCTTTTGCACACTCATTGGCGGCTGACACGCTCAAGAGTATGGAAACCGAACCAGAGAAGCAATGATATAATAAGGATGGCCTGGTTGGTGACTCTGAGGTAGCCTTTTCCTCATTCTTGGACTACAAAGAATAGAGGGGAAAGCCGTGGAGATGTAAAAGATGGAAGATGGTTAAGAGACTCAACATTACCCATGATATGCTAGTATAGGTCAATTCCTCTAGAAACGCAAAAGATCAATGACAGAAGTCCATAGAGAAAAAATAATCACTAAGGCGGAAGACTCCAAAATTTGCTATTCTAAGAGTGTGTACAGAATGAGACATACTAATCAAAAAACACACACTCCAAAATGAGTAATGACCACAGAAAGCACACACATATTAACATGTAATGGCTATTCTTATCAATTCCAATATGCACCAAGGATCACTCAAAAATTTTAAGCTTACAAAACCATACTAAGCAAATCTTTTTGGGATTTTTTTTTTATTTTTTTCTTAACCAAAAAAAAAAAAAAAAAAAAAAAAAAAAAACGAACAAGCACATTTTTTTTTTCATTAAAAACAACACACACAAATCCAAAAGCTAAAACAAATAAACAAATTAACACAAGTCAAGTTTTCTCACCCAAACCGCTTTAGTATAAACAAAGTTGTGAGCATTACGGTTCTTGGGTGGTATCTTGACGTTGTGATTCCATTCCCTTCCCTTTCAATGGGAACCCGTCTCGACGTGGTTTCCAACTTCCTACTTCTAGGTCTAGGCAAATACATGCTCCCATGCAACTTATAACAATAAGGGCGAATATGACCATGCATACCACAATGATGACAAATAAAAACAGGATGTACATGGTGTACCTTCTTTTCTTTTACCCTACCAACTCTAGGAAGTTTGAGAAGTCCATCCTTATGTTGAATTTTTTGTTCTCCCTTTCCTTGAGTTCTTGAATCATGAGATGTAGATGCACTCTGTTTTTGCTCTTTGTTATCACCAAAGCCAATGCCACTCTTGTCAAAACAGATTTGTTGAGACTCAATGATATTGTCCAAAGTCTTTGATCCTTTGTTCCAAAGACCAACGGTAACCATGGCACACTTGAGTTCTTCTTTTTTCTTGATCATTAGTTCTTCCAAAGCAACTTGAGACATCTCGAGAGTTTCAATTTTTTCTTCATATGTTGCATAGATTTGTTGTAGCTCATTTCTCTCTGTCTCACAAGTAAAGAGTTTTGCACAAAGAGGTTGTCGATCATTAGCTATCTTGATGGCATCAATCCTAGCCTCGGAAATCTTCTCCTTTAGTTTGACATTCTCACTTTCACATGCTTTGAGTCATAGTGAGTTTGTCATTCAATTTGGATAAGTTAAGAGATTCCTTATACAACTTTTCATAAGCTTGCTCAAGCTCTTCATCATCACTTCTCGAGGATTTATCATCAGTGGCATTCTCAACCGGGCTCTTCGAATACTCTGTTCGTCCTTCAGTTTTAGAAGCCGCCATGAAAGCAAGGAACTGTTTATGTCCCTCTTCGCCTTTATCTTCGTTGTCACTTTCATCTTCATAAGATTCTGATTCATCATCTCAAGTGATGGCGAGGGCTTTCTTCTTCTTCAAACGAGTGGGGCATTCTGAAGCAAAGTGGCCAAATCCTTGGCATTCCTAGCATTGGACTTTTTTAGAGTTCCCTTGTATCTTTCCTTTCTCCTTTTTGGCTATAGAATTAATTTTGAGTTTATCTTTGCCTTTAGATTTATGAGTATGAGTAGATTCCAAAAGATTAAGATTCTTTTCAAAAAAGATTTTTTAAATTGTTTAACAAAAGCAGCTGTAATCTTGGAATCTATCTCACAATCCTCATCAGAATCCTATCCAACTCTATGAGCACTACTAAAAGTAATATCTTTTTGTTTCTTTTTGAAATTCCTATGTGCCTCATAAGTTTGGAGATTTCCAACCAACTGATCCAACTTGAGGTTGTCAACATCTTGAGCCTCCTCAATAGCCGTAACTTTTGGTTGGAACCGATCGAGCAAGGATCTCAAAATTTTTTCCACAACTTTGGATTTTGGTATTTTTTTACCTAAATTGAAGCTGGAATTTATAATGTCACTCAATTTCGCATAAAATTCATCAAAAGTCTCACTATTTTTCATTGAAAGGTTTTCGAAACTAGACGTGAGCCTTTGAAATTTTGAGCGTTTAACAGAAGGAGCGCCCTCATGAATAGTTTGTAAGATATCCCAAGCCTTTTTTGCGACTTCACAATTGCAAATACGACTAAACTCTTCAGGTGTGACAGCGTAAAAAAGAGAATTGATAGTTTTACTATTCCAGCTACTATTTTGGTAATCAATTGTGTCCCAGTTATCAATTGATTTGGGGAAAGTTACTCCATCAACGGTAATTATTGGTTCGGTCCACCCATTCATGACAGATCGTCAAACTTTTTCATCTATTGATTTCAAAAACGATCTCATCCGAGCTTTCCAAAAAGAATAATTGGATCCGTCAAGTATAGGTGGTCGAACCATAGAATTTCCCTCACGTATTGAATCTATTATCACAAATCAAACAAGATCTCGTTCTAAAAGAATATTTTTTAAAAAAAATAGAACGATTTGCTCTGATACCAATTGAAAAATCTAGAAATTCCCTAGATGTTGATTTGTGATTATGTATCAATTTTAAGCAGTAAACAACAATCTCAATCAAACAATTAAGACAAATCGACACAAAGATTTTACGTGAAAAAACTACAATTGAACACCTCCAATTGTGCTTAAAAAACCAAGGGCAACAGCCACAAAATAATCCACTAAGAAGATATAAAGGAATTACACAGGTATACTCTCAATTACCTAGTGAATCCACGCCCGAATTGAACCAACCTCTATGTGTCTCTTCCAATCCTGTCTTCACCTCAGAATTGTCTTGACGATGAGCCACTCCGGAGTCCACCAAAGCTTCAGGCTCAAATTTTTCAGAATCCACCAAAGAACAACTCTCTCTTTTGTGTAGAATAAACAAACAAACCTTTGATGTATGCTTCTTAAATCATGAGTTGAATACTCAATGAAAACATCAAAGAAAACTACCAAAATATCCTCAGATATAAACCTTAGAACCCAAAAAGAAGATCTGGAGGAGTAATCCTAGATTTGACCCAATATGCGAATTTATAGAATCTGTGTTCGCGCGGTCCGCTAGAGCGTGGGAATTCCCGCTCGAGCGGAGGCTTCAAAATTGTGTGATTCATATAGACTTCACGCTTGAGCGAAAGTTGCCACGCTCGAGCGCCGAATCACACCATCTAGTACTTTTTTCTGGCGAAGCAGAGATGCTGTGAGCTTGCAATCCCTGCTCGAGCGTCACTTTCCCCGCTCGAGTGGGGAGACCAAAATTGGAAAATCTGAAAAACTAGATCCTGTTACAACCTCGGTTTTGATCCATGGAATTTGACAACAAAGAGTCCTAACAAAAGTGATATTCACTATGGGGTCGTTTGGTTTTCATGTTAGGTTAAAAAATCACAAAAGGAGAAAAATCACAAAAAGACAAAAAAAAAAAAATCCAAAATTTCAAAGCCAAAAAGTCAAAAAAAAGCCAAACAAAAATACCAAACGACTAAAAAAGTCCGAGACTAAAAAAGTCAAAACAATCAAAAAAATAATTTAAAAAGTCATTGTCAAACGAGCACTATGGGTCATAGTATATTAACCCTTAAAATTTTAATCTTTATAATTTGATCTAAATTTCATTTAAGTCATTATTATTTCAATTCAAATTATGTGTGCTCCCTTGATTTTAAGTTTCATTTTAATTTGACCCATCCTTTCAAAGTTAGATGTTGCAACGCATGACTTTCTAACACTTTGTCAATCACAGAGAGTGTTTGGAGTGTACTATAAAAGTATACTTTTTTTTATCATTTTTTTTACATTTTTTTTTTATAAAAAATTAAAACATATACTTATTTAGATAATTCCAGACACCCTCTTAATTGTAAATTAGACACACAAAAAAAATTGAAATTAAACTTAAAGTCTAAGCTTATATTAAATTAAAATTATAGAGACCAAATTGAAACTAGATCTAGAGGATCGTTTGGGAACATCAAATTTTAGCTGAAAAGTGAAAAGGTCACTAAAAAAGTTGAAAAATTAATAAATATTAAAAAGTTAAAGATTCATTTTCATTCATCCTAATTTTTGCATATCTTTTCGTAAAAAATAAAAAAATTTATCCTAAACATATATTAAATTTTTTTCATCTCATATTTTAGTAAAAAAAATCAACAAGTCATTAAAAAAAATCTATTCTCAAACGACCACTTAAAGTGTAAGGACAAAATTGTTTAAATTGAATTATAAGAATTAAAGTGAAATTTAGATCAAATTTTAGAGTGAAAAGTGTAATTAATCTTAATTTTTAGATACATAATCCTTTGTTTTGTGATTATTATTATTTTTGGTTAAAAACATTAAATAAATAAAATAAATTTTTTATTTGTTTATATGTAGGTGGTGGAAAGAGTTGGATTTAATATCGAAAGTTCCATATGCGAGGGACAGAGCAGTGGAGATCTTTTTTTGGTCAACATGTGCATATTACAAATCTCAACACTCTCTTGGACGTGCGGTGCTTACCAAAATTGTGCTTTTGTTATCCGTTACCAACGATACTTATGATGCATATGGTACCTATGATGAACTCAAACTTTACACTAATGCAGTCCAAAGGTACAATTTTCTATACCAATCAATTTATTTATCTTCGGTAATTAAAAAAAAAAAATCTCAGCCTTTTAATTTTATTAATTAAAATTAAAATTTTTTATTTGTTTTCAATTTAAATTATTTGACTATTTTTGCTAAGTAAAATTAATAAAAAAATAATATTTTAGTCATTAAACTCAATAAAAAAAATAATATTTTAGACATTTTATGTACATCTACCTCGAGTTTACTGACTAAAATACTATTGTTCTTTCAGTTTTACTTGACGAAAATAGGCAAATGGTTTACACCGAAAACAATCAAAATATTAGTATTTAAATTAATAAAATCAATAACTTGGGGTTTATTTTGTTATAAAGGTCAAATATTGGAGTTTTTTTTTATAATTATTCCTTTATCTTTTTTATTCATCATTAAATTATTTTTTTAAAAATTATTCTGGTCTTCAATATATTTTTTGTATTTATAACATTATTATTTTAAAATGACCAAAGAGTTGGCCGAGTAGTTTGAGACATCCTTATCTAATGTTAAAATTTGAATTCGAGTATTATTGTTGCAAATGCAGCATTTCCTTGTTTTCTTTACTTCACTTGACAAAAATAAAATAAAATAAAAGAATTAAAGGAAAGGTATAATAAAAAATAAAAAAAAAACTCTAGAGTTTCTTAATTAAAATCTTAAATTTTTGATTTATTTTAAGTTAAACCATATGTCTATTTTCGTTAAGTAAGACTAACAAAAATAAATAATATTTTAGTTATTAAACTCCAAAAAAAAAAGAAGTATTTTAATTGAAAATTAAAAAAAAATTAAGATTTAACATGAAAAAAAATAAAAAATTTAGAATTTATTTTGTTACAATAATCAAATTTTAAAGATTTTTTTTTAAAAAAATAATTTTTCCAAACTTTTATTGTTTCAAAACACTGTTATTATTAGATCCCCTCATGGGTAGTCCCTAGTTTCCTTAACTAATGTTTCAAATAGGATTATAGTAAGATTTCCACATTAAATATTATTAGGTATTCCCTACTTTCTTTAATTAAAGTCCCAAAATGGAATTATACAAATGTTATTGTGATTAAATTTCTTTTATCAAATTTTGAATACTCCAATATTTTATATGTTGACAATGTATTGATACATGAAAGGTGAAATTCATTGAACAAATGTATTTTTGGGGGGACAAACCACATATTAATCAATATTTAATAGTCAAATTTTAGTCATTATTGATTGTATTAGTATGTTATGACTTGAAGTGGTTAATTATAAGGTGGGATGTGAGTGCCATGGATGAGCTCCCAGACTACATGAAGGCACTCTATAGAGCTCTCCTAAACGTCTACGATGAAGTAGATAAGGACTTGGCAAAGCAAGGGAGAGCTTATGGTGTTCATCATTCAAAAGATGCAGTAAGGTTTTTTTCAATGTCATGTTTTTTTTGATCGGCAAAAAAGAAACTTTATTAATGAAATAAACAAGTACAAGGTACAAGACAAAATACATCAATAAAGGAAAAGGAGGTGTAAAAGCATCACAGTAAGCTAAATGATCCCAACTAGGTTAGCACCACAGAGCTCACCCTATCATTTGCTAGCACCCCAAAGTTGGTGTGTGGGTAATTTTCTTACCACACTGCCCGCCTAGTAATCAGCTGGAGAGCACTGGCAGAATAGATGGCTTTAGTAAACCTGTAACAGAAAGAAAAAGTCTCCGGCGGTGGCTCTTCCACCCAGGGGCACTCCGACGATCAAGTCAGTATATCTCTCAAAGATAATCAAGTGTTAAACTCACAAGTTTGAGTATCAAAAGCATATCTTAGACCCATGGGGGTGCCTCTTTTTTATAGCCAATACAAAATCCTAGTCCCAATAGGAGCCTGACCCTAATGGACTTAGGATTACTGCTAATCTGGGACTCTCAGTGGGATTAGGATAAACTCTCTAAGAGTCTTATCTTTACCCAAACTGAAGTCTTCTCTCAAGCTAGGACTCTTGTTCCTCATCCAGGTTGAGTTCCCTTTTCATTCTAGGACTCTTGTCCTTTATCCGCTTATCTCGGATTCCGATATCTTCGGAGATAACCTCGGCCTTGCCGAGATCACCTCGGCGTTACGACCAAGACACGTGGCATCTCGCTTGACACGTCGGCGTCACCTTGCCACGTGTTGGTACTCAGAAAATATATCCCCACAACTGCCCCCTAGGTTCTATTACCTCGACATTCTGAGGTGATGGAACCTATATCGATATTTTTTTCTGCATAGTGGCTCAAAAACTGTTTGGCCGAGATAATTCATTTTCAAGCCGATGTGTTCTCTTCGGAGAACAAGAATTCAAATGAACTCCACCACGCACATGAGCTGTCATGCATATCTAACCGTTCCTTTCACGTGCTTTGTCTTCATTGGCCCGTGTCTGTGACGCGCCTGAATGCTGTCTTTCACTCATCTGCGCCGTTTGACGTGTGCGTTGCTCTAGGCGTAATAAACGCCCTGCTTTTGCCGCAGTTTCAAGTTTTTTGATAAAACTTTTCTTTCCTTCTTCCTTTATCCACTTTTTGTATTTCTGATTTCTTGCTTTTTCTCTCTCTAAAAGCTCTAGCATTCTTCGAATCTGCATTTTGCTCTAAGCCCCAAATTTTGCGACCATCTTTATTCTTCCATTCCTGCGAAGCTTTCGCCATTGTTACAACCGTCGTCTGATCTCGGCGAATATCGCTCCGGCTTCATTTTATCTGGTAAGCAGCTGGCCCCCTTACCCTCTTTTTCTAATTCTTGATTGTTTCTGAAATTTCTTGCTATTACTGTTCTTCTTAGTCATTATTTGTGAATCATTCACCTGAATGCGTCTTATTTCATGATTTTTCACATGCCATGAACACTTTGCACTGTTTCACCACTGTTCTTGGCCCTTAACCCTTTGTATTCTTCGTGTTCTTGATAGCCCATCCCTGTTCTTATTTCTGAAACTTCGCTTTTGTTCTCTGTTTTTTTGTGTCTTTACCAGATCTGTGCCCTCGATCTTCGTCTCTATAGTTTTAGGTTTGTGATTTGTCTGTAGAACCTTCAATCTTTAGAAAAAACTGAAACAAACCTTACCAGTCCTTACCCAGATTTGAAACCGAGGTTCTAGCAACCCTTCTCAAACACCTATCTTTTGAGACACAGCCTTCTTTGTTTAGGCCGACGTAATGGGTATGAGGAGACACCGGGTAAACACCCCAACTAAACTTGAATTTTTTAGGCAAGAATTTTCCATTCCTGTCGATGTCCACCTGAGGTTGGCTGAAGATAATGACTCTATCATGCCCACGGATAATTCAATGCCCTTTCCTATAGTAGCTTTTACTGAGTGCGGACTCCGGCTTCCACCCAATCCTCTTTTTCGTGAGATTCTTCACTTCTATAAGTTGAACCCCATGCAACTTACCATCAACTCCTATCGAGTGATTAATGGTATCATAGCCCTAACAAGGGTAAGAGCCCAACATCAATACTTAGTTATTTCTTTTCCAAGTCTTCAAAACTTTGTCTGTTTCTAATGTTTGTCTGTTTGTCCTGCAGATCTTCATCAGCCACCAAAAAACTTTCGCCAATCGTACTTCCCAGGAAAAGATTTAAAGAAACTCTTTGATCTTCCAATCCACAAGCGCAAAGCTCCACTATTACTAAACTTTATTCCGATATACAAATCCACGTTGCCCGACGTCCCGAAGAAAAAGAAGAAGAGCCTCTCTCCACCTACTGCCACAACTATAACCGCTTCTTCATCCCGAACAGATCAAGAGTCCACATCTGACCCAATCAATCAACCATCCACTTCAGCCCCATACTTGATCCCAATACCAGAAAGAAAACGCCGGCGACGCTTTGTTAAAGCTTCTTGATCTTCCAATCCACAAGCGCAAAGCTCCACTATTACTAAACTTTATTCCGATATACAAATCCACGTTGCCTGACGTCCCGAAGAAAAAGAATCCCGAACAGATCAAGAGTCCACATCTGACCCAACCAATCAACCATCCATTTCGGCCCCATACTTGATCCCAATACCAGAAAGAAAACGTCGGCGACGCCTTGTCAAAACTGCCGAAATGGGTCGCGCAAAGCCAATTGCCCAAAATCTCCTAGCCGACCTCCCGACTGATGCTGATGCTGTACCAACCCTACCAATGCCCCCACCGAAGCCAAGAAGAATCAAGAAGGCCCAGCCTAAGGCCAAGGCTACTGAGGTTGAGGCTGAGGATACTTTGCCTATCTCAAAACTGGCTGAGAGTAAGAAGACTTCTTCTGCTCCTTCAAAAAGGTCCGCCGAGACCCAGCCCTCCGAGTCCACCCAATCAAAGAAGCCGAGGTCTGCCTCAGCTACTACTTCGGGGTCCAAGAAACCCAATGTCCACTGGGCCCCAAAGTTGACTTTGGAGGATAGGCCAATTATGTCAACTAAGAGTGCCGACGACATTAATGTCGGTGTCGCCCTCAGTACTGCTCTTCTTCTTCCAAGCGATCTGGAGCGAAATGCTAGGTACAACGAGTATGAGAACTATGCGCTAATGCTCCAGCACTCCGTTCAAGTAAGTGTTTCCTGTTTTGTCTTTTCTTTCTGCTTCATACTTAGAAGATTTTCTAACACTTCTGTTTTCTTTCAGGCCATCCAGCACGCCCATTCGTTTTCAATGCAATCTTTTGAAAATCGTCAAAGAGTGGCCGACATGAAGAGGGAGGTTTCTGCCCTCAAAAAGGATAGTAAATCTCTTGAATCAAAGATGAAGAAATTGGAAGATAAGGCCGAGGCCGCTACTAAGGCCCAGCAGATGGCCGAAGAAAAAGCGGAGTCTGCTGAGGCTATTAGAAAAGTTGCTGAAGCTGAAAAGAAGGAGTTTAAATAAAAAATGGCTCAAGCTGAGAAAGAGCTTCAGAAGGCTCTGGCCACAAAAAAAGCCAAAATCAAAGAAGTTGATGAGAAGGCCTACGCCCAGGGCGTGGCCGACGTCACTGAGGAATACAAACTTCAAGTTAAGCAGGCATGCAACAGGGGCTTCTCCCTTGGTTGGATGGCCCTTGCCAAAAATCTCAACATCCCAGATGACTCGCCGTTGCGCAAGGCTGAAGCTATTCCTCTCCCATTTCCTTATCTTCCACCTCCAAGACAGGCTGAAGAAGAATCTGAGTCTGAGTCTGAAGCCGAAGATGAGGATAAGGATGACGGTGATGCTCTAGTAAGGAAGTCCAAGGATGCCGATAAGACCCAATCTCTTCCTCAGGATGATCAAATCCTAGACCTGACTCATGAAGAGGATGAGGAGGTTATTAAGGAGGCAACTCCTGAACAAGCATCATCCGACGTTCCTCCAGCCGAAAAAAGTCTTGATGAAACGCTTGCAGAGATTGACGCCGAGATTGAAGCAGAAAAGATTGCCGAGGAGGTTCCACCAGAATCTTCCGAGGTCCCAGCGCCTCCAGCTGTTAATGCTGAAGAATCCTGATTTGAATGTCTTTATTTCCTTGCCTTTTTATACTCTGTTTTGTTTTCTGAACAATGTAAACTTCCTTTTATGGCCGATGTGCCTTCCTTTGTATATAACTGCAATTGTTTTTCTATGGATGCTTCAATCTTTTTAATTTCTCTTTGATTTGCTTCTGCATGGTTGTATGCCTTTTATTTTTTGCCACCTTTGTGCAATCTCCTCGGGGTTACATACCTCGGGTTCAACAACATCAAACTTTACTTCGGCAAGATACAGACCTGAAAACTCTTGATAAATTCTAACAAGTGTTTAACATATACTATTCAATATTAACTCTGCAAGTTTCTTCTCAAGTTTCAATAAGTATGTAAACAGTGATCTCGGTCTAACCTACTTGTAAATTGCTACAAATTTCAACTAGTGTTAACATATACTGTAAACTGTTCTCAAGTTATAACAAGTGTTAAATAATGGTCTACTTGTAAATTGCTGCAAATTTCAACAAGTGTTTGAACAATATACTTAGCTTTTACTTCAACCTGTAAATTGCTGTAAATTTCGACGGATGATCACATGTCGGCTTAACATTATTTTGGTTTAACCAACTTGTAAATTGCTACAAATTTCAACAAGTGGTAAACGCATTCTTCTTCTTCCTGCCCCCAATGTGAACCTGAGTTCTACTTGGGTTCTCATTATTCATGTCTCCAAAAACATCAGTATGTAATTTTATCAGTCATATGTGTTGAAAGAACTTATTAAAAAAACTTTATTAAAGACATCGGCAAAAAATACTGCACATCTAATGATAGAAGAATTTCAAATTACAAGTGTTCCAAGGTCTTGGCAGTGCTTTGCCCTCGTTATCTTCAAGCCGATAAGCTCCATTGCCTAATACCGAAGTAATTCTATAGGGTCCTTCCCAGTTTGGGCCAAGCTTGCCCTCTTTGGGATCTTTTTTGTTGCCGACGACTTTTCTCAGGACTAGGTCACCGACTTGAAAATCTCTTGGATTGACCTTTTTGTTGTAAGTCCTAGCAAGACCTTCTTGTTATAAGCTCTGGCAAGCTGTTGCTGGTATACTGCGAGCTGAATTGCAGCTTTTTCTCTTCGTTCTTCCAACAAATCCAGGTCTCGGGCTAAGAGTATGTCATTGGTGCCATTCTCTATTCCCTGGGTCCTGATCCCTGGGATGCCGATCTCTAATGGGATGACTGCTTCTGTGCCATAAGCCATGGTAAAGGGGGATTCTCCTGTTGATCTTCTCGTCGTAGTCCGATATGCCCAAAGCACGTTGGGTAATTCGTCTACCCACTTTCCTTTTGCTGCCTGCAGCCTCTTCTTTATTCCATCCAAAATTACTTGGTTGGATGCTTCTGCTTGACCAATACTTTGGGGAAAACTTGGTGTTGAAAAGTAGTTCTTGATCTTGAATTTGGCACAAACGTTCTTGATGAGTTTGCTGTTAAACTGTGTTCCGTTGTCGACAACTATTGCTCTTGGAATGCCAAATTTGGTGATGATGTTTCTCCATATAAAGTTCTTGACGTCCACATCTCGGATTTTGGCAAGAGGTTCTGCCTCTATCCATTTGGTAAAGTAATCTGTTGCCACCAGCTGGTATTTTCTCTGCCCAGTTACCTGGGGAAGTTGCCCGACAAGATCCATGCCCCATTGGGCAAACGGCCAAGAGCTGGATACTGGGTTCAGGTCAGCAGCTGGCTGATGTATTAAAGGTGCAAACCTTTGGCATTGTTCACACTTCTTCACGTAGGCTTCAGCATCCTTTTGCATATAGGGCCACCAATACCCCTGGGTAATGGCCCTGTGGGCTAATGATCTGCCCCCAGCGTGGCTTTCACAAATTCCTTCATGAATTTCATATAGGAAATCTTCAACCTGCAAAGGGTGTACGCACCTTAAAAGGGGTCCTGTGAAGGATCTTCTGTAAAGATGTCCATCTTCTGTCAGACAGAATCTTGCAGATTTCAATCTGACTTTGTGTGCCTCCTTACGATCTTCCGGCAACTTTCCTTCTTTCAGGAATGCAATAATTGCATCCATCCAGCTTGGCCCCATGTCCACACACATTGCTTGCTGCTTTGTGCACTCTGGTTCTATGCTCAGGCCCGACATGTAGTCGATCATAATTGTTCTTGTTTTTCCAGTCTGAATTGAACTTGCCAGGTAAGCCAACGCGTCGGCGTGGGTGTTGTCATCTCGGCTAACTTGGAGTAGTCGGCAGTTCTGAAATAGGGCTGCCAATCTAATGACCTCTTTTGCATATGCCGACATCCTTTCGTCCCTGGCTTCAAATTCACCTGTTGACTGGTTAACAATAAGTTGTGAATCACAAAAAACTATTACCTCATCTGCTTCTGCTGCTGCTGCCAGTTTTAGCCCTGCAATTAATGCTTCGTATTCCGCTTCATTGTTTGAGGCCTTGAACCCCAAACGGATGGACTGTTCTATTATTTCTCCATCTGGAGATATCAGCAGTACTCCTGCCCCTGCTCCTTGTCGGTTCGAACTCCCATCGACGAACAGTCTGAATGAGTCGCCAATGTAGATGCTGCAGGGTCTGAGCTTTTCTTTCCTTTGATCTTTTGCGTTTGGCTGGGATTCTCCTTGCTTGCTGGGACAATGCTCATCCTGGCTCAATGGAGCCCGATGTTCGATGGTTTCGGGCGTGAATTCTGCCACGAAGTTGGCTAAAACTTGGCCTTTGATTGTTGTTCTCGGCCTGAACTTCAGGTCATACTGACCCAGGACCACTGCCCATCTTGCTATCCTTCCTGTTAAGTCTCCTTGTTGCAACAAGGACTTCAGTGGATGCTCTGTTAGGACCACAATCTTGTGCGCCTGAAAGTAATGGTTCAACTTCTTTGAAGCCATTACTAAGGCTAGCATTAATTTTTCCAGTGGTAGATACCTTGTTTCTGCACTGGCCAAGGTTTTGCTTACATAGTAAACCGCTTTTTGCTCTCATTTTTCTTCTCGAATTAGTACTGCACTTACTGCGTGTTCTGAAACTGCCAAGTACAAAAACAGCTCTTCCCCTGGTTCTGGATTGGAAAGAACCGGAGTTGTGGTCAGGTATTTCTTTAGGTCGGTTAGAGCGGCTTCGCATTCTTCTGTCCACAGAAAGTCTGTGGCTTTTTTCACCAAGTTGAAGAAGGGTCTGCATTTATCTGAGCTTCTGCTGATGAATCTGTTTAGGGCTGCGGCCCTTCCAGTAAGCATCTGAACCTGTTTTGCCGACGTCGGGCTCTGCAGCTCTAGGATGGCCTTGATTTGGTCTGGGCTGGCCTCAATGCCCTTTCTCGTTACCAGATACCCTAAAAACTTACCTGATCCAACTCCAAACGCGCACTTTGATGCGTTGAGTCGGAGCCGGTATGTTTTGAGTATATCAAAGACTTCTTTTAGGTCGGCAAGATGACCCTTAGATTCCTTAGTCTTCACAACCATGTCATCGATGTAGACTCCTACCGTTTTGCCAATCAGGTGCTTGAACATTTTTGTTACTAACCTTTGGTAAGTTGCTCCTGCGTTTTTCAACCCAAAAGGCATCACTTTGTAACAATGCTCATTCTCTCTCCATGCAAGCTTTTGAAACAAGGGAGAAGTTGGCCGATATGAGGCGGGAGGTTTCTGTCTTGAAAAAGGAAAACAAAACTGTTCTGACAAAGATGAAGAAGGTGGAAGATCAGGCCGAGGCTGCCACTAAGGCCCAACAAATGG